TAAAAATCTTTCACAGCATAACATTTCACCCATAACTTTGCTCTTTCTTACATCCAGAGATGATACTTCAGATGTTTCGAATTTCCACATTCTCTGTCATCAGTAACCCACACACAAATCAGCTGCTGAGCATTTGCAATTTCCGCTTCACACCCCGTGTGTCTGTGTGTGTTTAGCATGTATGGCGGATTTCAGTATGTCTGTGTGATCTGTTTGCTTATGTGCATGAGTGAGTAGTCTGCAGCGTTGCATGCAGATCCAGCTCTGTGAATCATGGCTCCATCTGCCTCCTGGTTCTAATGAGAGGAATTCATGTGGCTCCTGACCCTACAGATGCTCCTGAAACGACTTGCTAAATGCTCTGAATTTATTTGGGACTTAAAGTGACTCCAGGGATTGATTACAGCCAACCTATATGAGTGTACTGCATGTCTTGTGTCCGCCTGTAAAAAATGATGTTAGTAGCCCAGTTTGATTAGACAAACCTGCCTGTAGATGTAAGACAAGGGTCTCCTGGTTCTTTCACTGGGCTAATTGCACATCAACCCACAGCATGTAATGCGGCAATTGCAGGGCTGCCTGCTCAGCTGCCAGATCCTAGAAACCCAAATCAAAGCTCCAGTTAACAAAAGCCCAACCTACAGTTGCAGCTCCCTAACCTAATTAACATTGAGTCAGCAAGCATGGCAGCGGCAGTGGTCGAGGTTGTGGTCCGGGCTGCGGGATACAAGAATAGCAGTAGCCACGCTGACACACTGGTGGACACACTGGGCCGTGACAAAAGAATCACACACAGCTACACAGCTCAACACGCCGCCTGGCCCAGGTGACAGTGCCTGATGCTCCCACTGTGGATCTTTTGTTTTTGTGGTCTTTATAGTTCCAACAGTAAGGATGCTGTGCATTCGGTGGTAAATGTGGTCTAAGTGGTCCTGAATATGTGGATTAGAAGAGCTATTACACTGCTGGAAAGTGTAAATGTCATGTATTTTTTATGGCCCTTTTTTATGCTGCGTGCATCCTTAGTCAAGGAGTATAAAAGCATAATCCAGAGCTCATTAAACTGGATTCACGTGCAGTTTCATTGTAACATGTTGTGATTTTAAAAAGTCTCAAGCAGAGAACATAATTAGTTTTTATGATATTTCAGTATTTTTTTGTTTTCTGCTTTGTGAGACAGGAGAGCCTGAAATATATGCCATTAAAATTACTGACCAGCGATGTTGCAAACCAGTGGTGAAATGTACATTTACTCACATACTCAGTACAAGTTTGAGGTACTTTATGTGATATGCTGTTTTCTACCTCTACTCCACTATATTTAAGTATTGTACTTTTTGCTCCACTACATTTGTCTGGCAGCTTTAGTTAGGCTACTAGTTACTTTACAGATGAAGAGTTTTACACACAAAACGAATGAAGAATTTACAAAATATGCTTTAGTTTCAGTTTAGTTTAGTTTTTTACTGTTCATTAATCTGACCAACAGGTTAAACAAGTACAGATGGAATGATTAATCCATTAATCACTTAGTTGGTTGACAGAAAATGAATTGCCAATTGCTGCTTTTCCTTTCAATTATTGTAATAATAATTTATTACTAAATAAAAATATTTTTTAAATGCATTATTATTCAAGAAAAACAAAACAATAAAACCAAAACAAAAAACACTCTCAAACAATCTCTCACACACAAGCATAAACCGTAGTAAAAGAAAAGAACGAGAAAAGGAAAACAGAAAAACAAATCTATAAGTAGAACCAAAGAAGCATCCTGCCATAAGGTTCAAGATGAAATGAGAAACTTCTTTAACTGATGATTTCATTGTTATATTCAATTAATCCTATTACTGTGGACCTCTAAATCTGAAGAAAAAATATATCTTGTTGGACATTAGGGTAAATTGAAATTTTCATCTAGTTGAATAAGTGTGAATGTGATTGTGATTATGCTTACATACTTTTACTTGAATAACATTTTCAATGCAAGAATTGGTATTGGTGGTATTATTATTTTTGCTTATGTAAAGGATCTAAATACTTACTTTACTACTGATGCACAAACGCACATAAACTGTGTGACTATTTCCGTTTTGTTCACCATCAATGCTGTTCAACTCAAAACAAATTGATGCCAAAAGCACCAATGATAATGCTCCAGTTTCCACCAATGAAAACGCATTCAAACTCTGTTTCTATTTATGATGGAAAAACACAGGAAACGTGCATCAGCTGACAGCTGCTCTTTTCGTAGCCAATTGTCATTCTCCAATGTGAAAACACTGTTGGGCCCTCAGATTTCTGCCCCACAACAAGCCTGACTTCTCATGGGGTGAGCGTGAGTAGGAAGCTGTGTATGCGCTACATATGACAAGCCACATTACTGTCTGGCTAGCAGACAGGCTTAGCTAGGCCATCCCAGGGCCTGCAGCCAGAGATGCTCTGCAGCTGAGTTACCATGCTTACTCAAATATTCATAACTGGATAATGCAAATATAAATAGTTTTTATGTGATACGCTAGAGGTTGGGGTAAACAAAACTGCAACCTCCATCATCATGCATCACTGTGTCTCTGCTTTGAAGGCTGCCAGTTAGAGTAATGGGCAGGATTGTTTGCTATGACACAGTGAGCATGATAAGCTACGACTCCCCTAAAGTTCTGCCAGTAATTCGGGTTTGATTATTTGGGTTTCATAGTGTGCATCGATATCACAAAGTAATCACTGTCAATCTTGTCAGCTGCAAGTGGGCTGGGGAGCTGTTAAATGTGTTTTTTTTAATGATTAATGAGCTCAAACATTGCCCTTGTTTCTTCTTGTTTAGGTGAATTGGAGGAGGCTGCCTGTGACATACGTCCCCTTCTCCCGAGTCCGCTTCTATACCATGAGCTCTGGCTCTGCCCAGGATGTGGCAGTCGAGCATTTCCTGCGTGACATAGAGAGGCGAAGCAAGCGGCTACACTGCGCTGTGATAGGCTGCGAGGAGGAGCGACCCCGCAGCGACATGAACCTGCTGTATCGTAAGAGCCGTTTGGACTGGAGGCAGAGGGACCAGGAGGGAAGTAAAAAGAGGTGAGAGGATCAGCTCACAGGAGTTCTGCATATATGGGATTACATTAGAGTTCAGTTCAGTGGGGATATAAACCTCTTAGCGGGCGTGAATGAGTTTAATTTCAAAATCTTAATTCCAAGCACAGTTCATGAAGTCAGAAGGGTTTGCCTGAAAATCTTGGGCAAATTTGCATAGCAGAGCTTCATAATGAAGTTAATATGTTCTGTATATGAGATAAACTACTATAATGTCAGCCAAAATGTCAGAGGGCAAAAAGAGGCCAAAACTGATGAAAACGAAAATTAAATAGCGTTGTTGCCTCATTTGTCTCAATAATATGAAAAAAGAATGTTTCATGCACAGATGAAAATGCTGCTGCAACAGTAAAATCATACTTACACACTGATGCATTAGTATTAACAATCTAATAGTGTCATATATAATGATATAACGCTCATGGGGGCGCATTTTTCTGCAGAATCAGTGTACAATTATGTGCAATTAAGATAATACTTCTGTACATGAACAGAACTTGAACATAGGTCTTAAACTTGTAATATAGATTGTTGTATTGGTACTTTTACTCAAGTACTTGTATTTAAGTAAAGAATCTGAATATTTCTTTCACCACAGGGTCCTGAGGGTTAATGTAGTACAATTACTAATGACCTGTTTAAAATGTAGTCAGTAACCTAATCCAGGTATCACAATATTGAAGTAATGTGACTTGATTACATTACGTTACTTTTGGATTCCCTCAACATGAAAATTAATATGCACATAAACACAAGAGAAAATAAATTATATTGTGTATAAGACAACAGAACAATGTGGCCAAGCTTTTTAGCTTGAAAACGTGTCCTCTGCTCAGTGTATTTTAAAAGAGAAACCATTTTAAAATTGTAATTCTGCTAATAATACCCATTTTTACTAAATGTAACTGTAATCTGATTACATATTTTTTCTGTAACTGTAATTGATTGCAATTACCTTTTGTGTATCCTGATTACGTCACTGAGTAACATGTAATCCTTCACTCCCCAAGCCCAACAGTGAACTGCTGATGTATCAAGGTTCAAGGTTTATGTATATATTTATTTATTATTTTACAGCACAGGGTTGCGCAACAAAATGCAAATGTTTGTCCCTTTATGCTGAAGAAGAAAAATCATTTTTATGTTGGAGCACGGATGATGGGTCCAGATTCTCTCCTTGAACGTCTTCCAGCAGTGGAAAATAATCATAATAAATCACAACACAGTGCTGGTCTTTTCTCAGTCTCTTATGAATAATAATAATAATAATAATAATAAAAATGATAATCGTAATAATTAAGTCTTAGAAAACATTTTTACATATTTTGAGGTCAAATTAAATGAAATTTGCTTCAGTTGCATTTTTCACAAGCAAATTAAATTATGATAGGACTAATTCAAGCACTTCACTAAACAGGTATCAACAACATACCATCATCAGAGTATTGTCTTAAAAAGTGTGTGCATGCCTGTGAGTGAACGATCTTGTGTATCTCAGCGTGTGTTTCGGGGACAGAGCAGAGATGTGCTGTTCAAGTGTGAGTCACCTATAATTCACCAAATTCCACGCTGTGTACGGGGCTATTTGTGCTGCAGAGGAGAGGGAGAACATCAAAGACAACAATTCAAGTTTGTTTAGAAGCGCCGTCCAGTGCTTTCTGACTCACAGCGGTAATTGGAGGCCCTCGTGTTGGCAGCGAAGATCAACGTCATGGCAGCATCAAGCCAGTGGAGGTGTGTAGGGCAGCAAGTGGGACAGCGGGACATGATGAGCGATGAAAGCAGAGTCAGAGCAGCAGAGCAGCAGAGGTGAGAAGCAGGACATGACCAGTGATGATTACGAACAGGGCAGGGTCAGGGATGAAACCGCACAGGGACGGAGGGATGGAAACCAAATGGACTCGAGGCAGGACCAGCAAGAGCTAGTGGGAGTGAGGGAGGCGGGGGGGTACAGGGGCAAAGGGAGCACTATGAAGGGCACTGGTAGACAGTTTGAGATCTCAAGGCCCCTCCGGAGAGGAATCACATTCATAAAGCAGAGACGGCTGTGGAGATACAGAATTGTAAATAGGTGAGTTTCAATATGAGTTTTAAAAATAGAGTTTTTTATGGCACTAATACAGGCAGACAGACTATTCCCAGTAGTGACGACTGGTGGAAGAAAACCTTGCTGACAGCTGAGGTTTTATTAATTCTTGCACAGAATTATGAGACCAGTGTGAATGGGCTGCCATGGGTGCAGCCTGGCACCACCAGTGTGTATGCAGAGATATGGAAGACTAAAAAAGCCCTGCAAATCGCTTTGGAGCAATTACACCGATACTACATTGATATTCGAGTGGACTATCTGAAAAAGAGGGGCGTTTAAAAGACAAATGAAAACAACATGATGTTAATTACAAAGGGATTCATAATATCAAGTCAAATTATGGATAAATACATTACAGTTTACATAAACAAAGGAATTTCTAAAAGTTGACCGTACAGCTAATCAAAAAATAAATGAATGGTGTGAATGAATGAATACTAAAATAAACATAATAGAACTGTATTAGGTGTGATACAGTAAAAGGAGAGTATTTTTTTCTGTTTGCATTCACCAGTTTCTTTATTTACATTTCAACTCTGGTATCAGTTACTTTGAGGTCTTGTTATGGCAACATTTTTACAATAAATAAATACTTTTTTGTAGTCTTTTTAGAGATCCCAGAATAAATTGTTGTGTGACCTCTTGGTTCAAGCAGGACAAATAACTTCTGCTCAGTGCTTGAGAGGAAGTCATGTTGGCTTTACAGGGTTGATGTGTTTTTGGGAAGAGTGTCTCTGAGTCTAATGAGTATAATCATTTTCCAGTATGGATACATGATTTTTTAATGCCTATTCATGCTCGGCTGTTGTGGGTATGATTATGGGTCGATGTTAAATAGATGAGGTTGATGAATAGTTTTTGTCAGTTTTAACAGATTTAAGTCAAAAAAAGGGCATCTTTACATTTGGAATCTACATTTCACTTCATTTTATTTAATGAAGCTGAATAAAATGTAGTTATTTCATGCCATATACAAATTCATATCAAAGCTAAAATGATATAATATTGTATCAACTCACTGACCTGTTACTCTGAATCATGAATCACTATTGAAATGTCAATTTTATATTTAGATAAACGGGGGAATCACTCCAAGATTCACATCCCTGTTATGTTATTGTTTTTATCTGTACATCAAACACACAGGAAAGGTATTTGTTATCCAAACCTCAACATCTTCACATGCTTTGAAGCACTCCCAAAAGCTGTTCATTCAGTTTTGTCATGAACAGATAAAAAAATATTCTGTGTTACATAAATACAAACTAATAAAAGGTCAATGTCTAAAACTACTCATGAGTTTCAGGCAGATAAAGACAAGCATTGTCTTGTTGTGGACCCTTCAGGGAGTTATTATCTGTGTGGTTATTCATTGTGGAGATGTAATTATAAATGGAAAACTTATTTTGGTCGGTCGCTTTAGGGGCACCTACAACTGTGTGTCACATGCTGGTAAACAATACTACAATAATACTGTTAGAAGAATCAATAGGCAAATTGCAAAGGCAAAGCTTGTGCCAGACAATTTCACTTTTTATGTAATTTTCTTCCTGATTCTTCCAGATCAGTTTAAAACCATGTTAGAGACAACCCATAACTTAAGGCAATCAATTAAAGTGTCGTGTATTGTGTCAGATATGTCAGTAAGGTCCAACAGAATGAGGACAGCTACACACTCAATGTCAGCTGCTCAACCTTAACTTATCTCAGACAAGATAACTGCTCTGATTTGCCCTCAAACCAGATTGGATGTTCTCAGAGATAATATTTTTTTACAGATAGTCTCATTCAGCTGTTTAAACATAACCCACTCTTAAACTTTGCCCCAAAAAGGTAAATTAGAAATAGGACGTTAACTGCTAGGGGCAGAATTATCTAAACTGGATTTCTTCAGCAAAAGCTTTATCACCGCAGCCATAAAGGCTTTTGGGAATGTCTCGCACTCTGAGGAGGGGATGGTTTTTCAAGAGTCTGTCCATGGATTAATCTGCCAGAGGTGTTGTTCAGAAGGTGCAGTGGGTGACAATCAATTAAAGATGCTTTGGCAGGTACAACGATGTACGATTCTCACTGCTTCTTTCAGGTGCTTGTTTGGATGACTGTGGAACCTTCATCTGCTGGCAGTCCTGTGCTATCAAAGACAGAAAATTTTATCACAGCGCAAAGTTGTGGTTGAGTACTGTGATTGTTGAGTGTACTGTGATAAATTATTTGGAGATAGGCTACATCAAATCTATGCAGGCAACTAAATTCCTGATTCTGACAAAGCAAGACAGTAGGAGAGAAAACTTCCTTGAAATATTTTTGATTGATTAATTGTTACCGATTAAGCTCTGTTCATGAATACACATCAGGTCATGTGAAGATAGATGCAGCAATCAGATCATACATTTAATTACCAAGAGCAGCTACACTGTCCTGAAATAGCAAGCTTCAGCTCACTCTCTATTACATATTTTAATTTAAACCGTGCATGAGAGCAGGGAAAGGGGAAAACGCTTATTTACTCTCAATATATATTTGCAGGACTGTTTCTTCAGTATTGTCGTCATCATGAGGTTGCCAGGCAACCAAAAGAGAGTCCATTAAGTCGCTGCTTGCATCCAAGAGATAGTCTGGCAGTAAACCCCTGTAAAACGAGAATTTTTTTTGTCACGTTTTTGTACGGATTAAACAAACAAGATACATACTTAGTTATTAGTGACCTTTAGAGATGCTGGTAGGTGGATTTTATTATCTATAGACAGAGCCAGGCTAACAGTTTCCCCTTGTTTTCAGTCTTTATGCTAAGCTAAGCTAAGCCCATTGGCTGCAGGCTCTATTTTCAGACAGACATGAGAGTGGTATCCGTCTTGTCGGCAAGACAAAATGTCCAACTACTGCTTTTAGTGCTAGTTACTATACAATAAGTGCACGAGGTAAAATAGCAAGAAAGAGAAGGGGATGAAAAGGTGAGAGTCCAAATACTTTTTGAACAGCTGAGTCTTTGGTCTCAGTTTGAAGATGCTGAGAGCTTCTCCTGCCCCAAGAAGAAAGGGAAAAAAACAGAGCACTTCAAGCTACCAGAAGGAGCTGCTCAGCCTCTGTTCCGTGCTAAATATGGCCCTGTAGTAACTATGTCGATTGTGAGGAGTCACAAGTGCATCTCCACAGGCATTCAAGGGCACAAACATACTCATACAGATGCAAACACACTCTGTTGCTGTACCACACACATAAAAACACATATTCAGGCACACACACACTGTCTCACACACAGTGATTTGATGAGGAAGAAAATAGGAGCCTCTGTGTTCTCCACGATGAGCAGCCTCAGTTCTGCCTCTGCTGCCTGCAATGTTGACTGCAAATTCTAAGCTCCAATTGTCTTCTTCTGTGCTTCACTGCATCACAGGGATTGCAACTGATCTAAAAGAGAGCGCTTCGTGACCCGTAATCATGTGTCGGCATTATGTACTATGATGAATCACTTACACACAGAATAATCATGCATTTGAGCTATTTAATTACACACACAGAAAAACAATTTCTTGCTGCCTCAAACATGTAGACACAGATGTGGATATCCAGATGTGCTCCCTGTGTCCCTGTGGCTGAGATATGATAAATGTGGAATAAGAATCGCCCTGGTGAAGCTGTGATTTCTTCCTGCATTGCTGCAGCAAATTCAAATGTCTTTTGACTCCTTTTGATGGTATTTCCACCGCAGACTTTTTTTTTCTCTCTCTGACATTTTGTGTAAGTACAGTAACTTACAAAGTAGCCTTGTTAATGAAAAGTCTGTTGTACGGGGAAAGTAAGTCAATCTTGTTCGATCGAAGTTCGCTTAAAGGCCATGGACTTATCTTGTGTTGCTGTGGGGTGAATCAGCGTAACACCCCTGGAGAGGACACCACACTATAGCAGCACAGATCTCTAAAGCAGGGAAGCAAGCAGAGGGTTATCAGAAGCCATTTTGTAAGCCTTTGGTGAACTCAGCAGGGCATCAGAACTCACAGTTTTATGTCAACAGCTTGAACCACTGACACTGTGCTCAACTCCAAACTTAACACATTTGATTTTATTCTGGTTTACGGTCCATAATAAAAAATATTATTATTATTTTCTTAATCTGAGGGTGTATTTATAATGCCTTTCAATTTTTTTTCATGTTTCAAATAATTATTTTTTGTTGTAAACTGTAAACAAGATCATAGAGTTTTGTGCACGCTAGTATAATGACCAATAATAATAAACATCATGATTATAGTACATTTTATATGCCCAGCAACTGCCAACTATTGTGTAGCATGGAGAAACACTTCAGTGTTTTGTCAGATTTTTCAGTTTTTATTTATTGTTGGGGAAGCTCATATCATTGATGATTTCAAAGACAAACTATCAAACACATGAAAATCACAACTGTTCCCATGGTAACAGATTAAAGGCTTCTGGCAATCATGAGAGCAGACTACAGATGTGGGCTGGGGATATGAAGATATAAAGAATAAGGGAATTCCAGCAGCACAGTGTACGCAAAGAGTGTTTTTGACAGGGGAATTGATTTCCTAATTGAATGTGTTTGAGGTGGAAGCAGATGTGGAGGAATTCAGATGGAAAGATATGTGAATGCAAAAGATGGAGGAGCCTCCAGGGCTTTCCCTTTTGCTGTAAAAGCCCTGCAGGCATTTATTTATTGCAAAGGCGATGTTTGAAGACCAAAGACACAGTGAGGAAAGAGGGAGGTCAATATAAAGAGTAGTACATAAATGTTATGCACTTAACTGATCCCTTCATTCTTCGATATTTTTCTTCCATCCAAACCTTCTCAACCACGTTCCTAATCTGCAGCTCCACCCAAAGCGACCCCTCAGCCACTGTTGGCAAAGTCAGAGACTTGGCTTCTTTTCGTCGGCACTTCCGGATGGGTTTCATGACCATGCCGGCGTCCCAGGACCTGTCCCCTCACTCTTGTGCCTCCGCCATGGCGCCACGCTCGCAGTCCTGCCATGCTGTTGGTGCAGGGGATACGAGCCTGGAGAACGGAGATTATTCTGACACCCAATCCCAACATGGCGGCCGCTGCCCTCCGGCCAAACCCAAACGTCACCCCAGCACTCGCCTCAGCTCCTCATCCGCCGACAGCAGAGGACTTCCTGAGACGCCGCCTCCCCCGTCCTCTCACTCGCAGTCCAAACACTCAGAAAAGAAAAATGGTAAGAAAATGTGTTTTCAGGTGCATATTCGACATATAAATATGATCTTTTTTCTTGATGTGTATTTTTTGTTCTCCCAACAGCCATGAAGAAGTCAGACTCTGGAGACATCGGAGCAAAGAAGGTGCCTCCTTTAAAGCCCAAGAGAAGTCCCAGCACCCAGCTTTCCTTTGACCCCCTTCCTCCACGTGTGCCTCCTTCTGCCACATCCTTGCCTTTCCAGGCAGCAGACTCTCAGATTCAGACAGGAGACGGGGAGGATGAGCCAGTCTATATAGAGATGGTGGGCCAAGTGTTCACCAGAGACAGCCAGACGGCCACCCCCCACCCTGTCACCCCTGTGGCCACCACGCCTGACTCTGACTCAGACCAGAGTGAGGCCATCTATGAGGAGATGAAATACCCGCTGCAAGAAGACAGAGAGTCCCAGAGACACCTCCCTCCAAAAGAGAAACTGAGAAACTCTAAACACTTTCATGTAACCCCTTCCTCCTCTAGCAGTTCTTCCTCTCTGCCACGCCCCTCCTCTTCCTCTCCGTCGTACTCCAAACCCAAAGCTACTGTGTCAATCTCCCATTCATCTCCTCTGCCTTCCTCCACGTCCTCCACCCCTGTCCCACAGGTCCTCTCCGCCAGTCCGCACACCCCACGAGCTCCTACTCCCTATCTGCTGCAAGGGAGTAAATCTGAAACTGAGTCCAACACGAAGATCCCCGCCCCTTTCCCCAATCTTCTACAGCACCGGCCCCCACTGCTTGCCTTCCCCCAGCCAGCAGCAGCCTCCAGCGGGGTCGGGGTGCAAAACAAGGCCTCTGCTAAAATGGGAACTCAAACATCCAGCGTGACAACTCAAGCCAGCAACTCCTCCTCCACTTCTTCTAATGTTCCGGTATCTGTGTCAGGCTCCAAGGAATCATCAGGAGGAAGTGCAACCCAGCAGGACAAACACAGCAGAGAGGCCCAGTTGGGCCCCGCTCCTGGACTCAGAGCCAGGAGCCATTCCACACCTCTGCCTCCCTCGTCCAAATCCACCTCCCCTTTCTCTCATCACCACCACCATCCTCACCATCGCCCATCGCACTACCATCACTATCGCAAGCCAGACAGAGGTGACTCCCCTGTTCCGAACAAGAGCAGTTCTCAGACTTCCACAGTCCAGACCCAAACCTCTAGCACAGGCAGGGAAGGCAAGTCTGTTAGCTTCCTCTTGAAGTCCGATAAAGGAGAGAGGGACAAGGATCGGGACAGAGACAGAGACAAGGATAGGGAAAAGGATAGGGACAGGGACAGGGACAGGGACAGGGACCGAGATAGAGAGAGGGATAGGGATAGGGGTAGAGACAGGGACAGGGACAGGGAAAGAGACAAGGAGAAAGATAAGGACAGAGATAGGGACAGGGACAGAGATAGGGACAAAGACAGGGATAAAGATAGGGACCGGGACAGGGACAGGGACAGGGAAAGGGAAAGGGAAAGGGAAAGGGATAGAGACAGAGACAGAGACAGGGACAGGGACAGAGACAGGGATCGGGATAGGGATCGGGATAGGGATGGAGGGCCGTACTCCTTACAGCTGGATCACACTCATTCCACTAACAGCCAAACGTCTCAAAGCAGCACCAGTTCAACCCCTACACCATTATCCTCATCCCAGCGTCCTCATTCTCGCCCCCATCTTCGTTCTCACACTCCTCACGGCCTGCCAGCGTACAAGCCTCCTTCCTCGGACAGCCCCTTACTGTGGACTTACCCCTCCGGTGGTTTCCGGAGACCGCCGGCATACGAGAGCCTTAGAGGAAGCTCTCAGACACCGTCTCTACAACAGCCCTCAAGTCTCACTGGTATAGGTGAGGGGTCATCCAGAAGTAACGGAGGGTCTGCGTCCCTCCAGTCAAAAGTTGGCTTCATGCCCTGGGACAGCAGTGCCAGCTTAGCTGCAGATGAGGGATCTTACTGGCCTATGCAGAGGAAATTGTCCTTCAGCCATGGAAGCAGAGAGACAGAGAGTAAGTCAGAGGTCATTTTGAATATGGAGTGAAAAAAAACAGGCTTTTAAAGGTACTTTAAGTTAAATATTTTGTGAAATATTTATTCTGTTCCTTCCCCTGTCGCAGAGGATGAAGGCCGTGCGTGGAATGGCAGTGCTGATGCCCTGTTAAGGATGGATAAGGAGGACCTCGGCATGGGGTCTCGAGGAGGTCATTCGGGCATCCCAGTCCACTTCAGTGGTGCCACCAGCAGGGCTCTTGGTCACAGTGAGTCCTTGGCCGGTGTGGATAGCAGCCCGGGTTTCAGAGCCCTGCCCAGAGTCGGTCTGCCTCTTCCCTGCCAGACTTTCCCTGCCTGTCGCAATGGAGGTAAGAAAACACTTAGTGTTCATAATCTTTTAGTCATAGCCTTTAACCACAACATCCTATTTAGAAAGGAACTCTAGCAGTGGATTTACATGGATTCTTATGCTGCCTCTGTTGTGGTGTCTTAAACGTGGACAACTTACTTGTTTTTCAAGTCACATGCGACTTTAAATCCCCAGAATTTAGGATGGAGGTGGATATTTCACATTTAAGTTACTTTTCTACAAGTGGAGAATTAAAGAGAGAGAGACTACCTCCTTTCCTGTCCTCTGTCACAAAAGCTCTGCCTCCATTACATCCTCTTGTACTGACATTAGCCTTGAAGTTCATTGTCTCTCTGCATCTGCACTCAAGGCCCTCCCCCAGAAACAGAGGGACACTGCTCACCTTGATAATGTGTGCAATACTTTCCTTGAAGCAGAGCCAATAACAGAAGTGTTCCTTAAACAGGTGCACATCCCTGTACACATACATTCACGAGCCTGGTCCCATTTCATGGTGTTTACAATGCCCACTGTGACAAACCTGGTTGTTAAAATTAAATTTACATAAGCCAAGTAATATACAGAGAGAGTGTAATCTATATTGCCGGTAAGCAACTTAAGTAAAGAACGTATAAAGCAAAGTCAGAGAGTGGTAGTTTCACTTTACAATTACATCACTTCTGTCACTTAAGTGTTAAACTTATTTTTTAAACATGCAAATATTTCTGTAGAAACTGAATCAAGATCTAATTGTGGTTAGGTCTTAATAACCAATTATTCTTCATTAGTGGAAATTGCAGATTAGATTCAGTACCAAAATTAAATTATCTGTTCCCATTTAATAAATTTAATGGAAATCTGTTTACAAAATAATATAAGATATCCAGCTGACAGGCAAACATTGACAGAGTGAAACAGGGTGATACAGGAAGAAATCTCTGTGTAAGCTTACCTTATTATGACTGTGGTATTAATAAAAATGTGTTGCTCCAATATCCATTGTTCATAAGTATAAGGTTACTTTATAATTGTCTAGTAGCTTAAAATATAATGAGCACGATGTGAAAAAAGCTCTGTCAGTGCAGTTAGACGTTCACAGGTCTGTGTATTAGAATGAAAAGTTATATTCCAGTGTTCTCATTAGCAGGCATACAATGTAATGTTTGTTTTCTTACAGAAGTGGGGCGGCTGGGCCGCTCCTCCTCTGCTGCTGGAGTGAGACAGGTGGGTGGAGGAGATGTCCAGAGACAGAGCAGCCTACCAGCACGAGAAGCCCTGAATCAGGTGAATATATAATACCCAGCCTTATAGCTATAGACTCTATTAACTTCATTCATGGTAGATTTGGGAGTGAACATTAATATTGTTCTCATTATTACTTCCCCTTCTGCTAGAGACAGTGCTCCTGCAGATCTATTTATAGCTGCTAGATATGCCCACTGAGCAGAATAAGGTTCTGGCCTGCCTGCATGGAATAAGAGCCGCAAAGGTGTATGACGTAGGCTCATATGTAATCAAGAATTGAGAGAGAATAGTGGATAAGAGAACATGCTGTACTATGTTTTGGAGTGATGAGCTGCAGTCTTCTAGCAGCACATTTTGCCCAGATTCTGGCTGCATAGCAAGTGCTGACGCAGTTTGAGTGTGCTGCAGAGACTGTATTCATGCGGCTGGTTGACCCTCCCTCAACCTGCAATAGATGAAGCAGCACTGCATCCTGGTGGCCACCCAGAGGAACTGCAGTCTCATTCAACGCGCTAGGATTGGTTGTCACTGCTGACAGTACTGCAGTGATCATGCAGGTTGTTTAGAAATGTAAATACTATAGTTTAAACACTACATACATTTGCTGACTTGACTTTTTACTATGTTTTCAGCTGCATGGTCTGGCCCAGTCTCAAGCGCCCTGCAGTCCCAGCAGTCCCAGTGTGTCTCGGCAGCAGCAGCAGCTTCAGCTCCACCAGCAGCAGTTACAGTTAAAGCAGCAGCTCCAGCAGCTTCAGCAACAGCACCACCTGCAGTTGCAGTTCCAGCAGCTCGCCCAGCTGGCACAGGGACAGCCTCCTGTCAGCGGGGGCACCACCCCATCCGCAGCGCAGACCCAGAGAGACGGCAAGCTGCTGGAAGTCATCGAGCGTAAACGCTGCCTGTGCAAAGAGATCAAGGCCCACAGGCGCCCTGACAAAAGCCTGTGCAAGCAGGACAGCATGCCCATCCTCCCTAGCTGGAGACGGACTCCTGAACCTCGTAAGACTGGCACGCCACCCTGCCAGAGGCCGCAGGCCGTCGTGTGGGACACGGCTATCTGAGGTGGAAAGACAGGCCAGCAAGTACAGCACTGAAGAGAGACTAAACCCACAGAGGAGTTGGAGATGGTTGGACAGTTAATACGAGATGGGAGTAAACATGGGTTTAGTACTAAAATTTGCTCTTTTTGTGTGATAAACTGATCTGAGAACAGTAAAGAAGGTTATTGGAGACATTGAACTTGTTTGTGGAAAAAAAACAAAAAACAGGTTGATAAAAGAGGTGAAGAAGAAAAAGTGTTACAATCAGACTAAATTAATCTCGTACCCGGGTGATTTGTACTTGCTCTGTACTATGTCCTTTTTGATGTGTTCTAATTGCCAATGATTTTTTGCCACAAAACGCCAGTATTATTGCTACAAAATGAAAACACCAACTTAACAATAATGGGTGGGATGTTTTCTGATATTGGTGTTGCCAAACTTCCTCCTGACTACTTGAGACATAAAGGAATCATGTATTTTCTCCAACACTCAGTTGTCCAACAAGCCTAGAAACTACTCTGTGGATGAGAAAAGGCAAGACTCATTGCTAAGTTATTGAAGTGTTTCTTGAAGTCGTGAATGCATATGAGATGTCTTGGTATCAATAGATTGTCATTGTGGATGCAAATAATCATCACTGGGGAGTAAAAGCTACCTACTGTATCTGTTTGCATATTTGTAATGTAAATCTATTTACTTTCTCAACGTTTCTGCAATTTTATAGCAATATGCTCCCAATGCTGGAGCAACATAATTAAAACTTGTGTCAACTAGCCTAACATACATATCTAAGACTTAAATAAGTCATATTTACTGTGTCATTCTCTGCATGTCACGATAGACATACAGTATTGTAAAAGAATATGTGTAGAGATGATCATGTCCGACTTTTACATACAGCAGATCTTCACTATGATAACGTGGTTGTATAAAAAGATGAATATATTGCCCGGGGGTATTGTGAGAAACGGTGGTGTGACAGTCCAGCCAAATATCGGTACAGATCAATGGTACAAAAAACTTCATCACTCATGCTTATCCACAGTTGCACATTAGTGATTGTTCCACCACACAGAAAATCAAGCACTGACACCCATCAACACAGACTGTACAATATGGTGCAACTGATAAGACTGTGAGTATTGATCACCTCAAACAGAATGCTGGAACAATCTGCACAAAACATGGTATACGCTTAGGAGAAATTAAACCCTAATGTACTGTAAATAGATATGTACAACTGTATTGAAAATGTAGCAATTATTTCCATTTTCATACCTGTAATCAATACATATTATGTAGCATATACTGTATAAACATAACTTTGTTCACTTGTTTTTTCTAAAAGAATTAAGTACTTTATCTGCTGCAGCCAGTCCATGCATTACTTATAGTTCTACTAATAAACGGTAAGCCCTCTAAAGAAAGGCACAGTCCAACAGTTGTTTATTTAAATTTATGCAAGACTCCCTTTAAGCTGTGTTATTGTTTTATTTTTTTCTACATTCATTTTTATTTGTGTACAGATTTCGAAAGCTCCTTGTCTTGACATTTTGACTACTTTGCTGCTATCTTGAACTACTGGTGTTGTTCATTCAACTACATGGTGTCGCCATGAGAAACATTATCAATATAGTGGTTATTGTTACATATTTGTTTTATTTCTGAAAGCCACGTGAAATGAAGTTTGTACCTTGAAGAGTGAGCCCTTCTGTAATAGTATTAAGGCACTTGAATGTCTCTTGGTTGTTGTTGTTTTATGATAGTTAGCACTAAGCTGTACAGTACAGTACACCCAGTGAAAAGAAGACCTATCTTAATGTTTGAGAGTCACTGCTTGGCCTTTTGTTTTAGTTCCACCTGCTTGTGTTTGAGGGTCGAGGTTTTTAAAGCTTACTGAGTCCATTTTCAAACAAACACAGATCAGGGTGAAGGAAATGGGCAAGTGCAATGCATGCAGAGATTCCTTACACTAAAAATGTTCCAATGATACTGACTATTGTGCCCAACTTCATTTCAGATACCAAGTAATCACCTTACTATGATTCCTTTCCACAGACTGATATGGAACCCTAGGTATCATTTCCAAAATAGTTTACAGAAGCTGTTGGTTTTGTGTGTCTTCTAAAACAGTGGCCATTATATGAGTGCCATACTATATTGATATGGTAAGATACGGTGTACCTTGGAAATCACTGTAGTGCTATATTTGCATTGATATTGTCATTAAAAATAAATTTTATATTATGAACTTTACACAACAAACAGAACTGTTGCATGTTTCCATGCCTCATGATGCTTCACAGTCGAGGTGGTGGTGGTGAAGTGGACATGATGTTCCCTCTGCACTTCTGCAGCAGGTGCTGCAGCATCCTCAGTGTCCATGTGAGGGCGCTCCACTGCTGCTGGTGCCACTCCATGCATAATACTACAGTCGCTGCTTCAATATGGCACACAAACAGTTATACTGACTCATAGTGATCCTGCAGACCTCAACCAACCTTCATAGTTTGAATTTTAAATTCTGGCAGAAATATCCCACTGGCAGCAAGCACCATAATTAACCTACAGTCAATATGCAACCAATGTACATGTCTTATGGGGTAGGTGAAGCACACATTTGTCTCAAAATGTCCCAAATTAAAATCCATGTTAAGGTTTACATTACATACAATTAACTACAACATTTTGTTTCTCATTTATTGGGACTACAAGAAAGAAAGAAGATAAACGTATGGCAGAGCCGGAACAGACAGAATCTAAATAATAACGTCCCTGTACACACTGTATGTACACTTTATTAAACACAACAATGGGGGACTACAGGCCTATTTATTACTGAGAAACACAGACACTCTGGGAGTCTTTTGAGAATATCAGAGGGCTATTGAGTTCGTTGTTTCGTTGGGGGACGTGACGATACGGACCTCGGAGCCTATAAAAGGATGCCCTCAGCCAGCGCGCAATTCGCTCCATAGGTTGTCTTTCATGCGTCGGAGCCTGAGAGGAGACAAGATGCGGCGCAGATGATTGGCCAAGTGGGAAGAGGAGGAGGGAGCATCTCTGCCGGGAATGGAGGGGGGAGGAGAGGGGTTGGAGACTGGGGGGGATATGTAGAGAGAGGCGGAGGGAGGGCTTTACCGCAGTATCACTAGATTTCTGCACCACTCATCAAAACTCTGCGGCATGCGGACAAGAGCTGTGGGAGGGCAGTTACTGGGTCTTCACTGGGTGTAGGACCGCTACCTCTCACTGCTACTGTACACTTCTGCAGTTATTAGACAGGCCACAGTGCTGCTTCTACTTTAATTCCCATTCATCTGCGCGTCAATTACCTCTCTTCTGCTCATAGCCGCGGAGGTACAGTATATCTCTCTCTCTCTCTCTCTCTCTCTCTCACTCACCCTC